CTCAGAAGAAAAATGAGAAAAAAAGAAAGAAAAATAAAATAAAGTTATTAAAATAAAAAAATTATTGAAAATTTAAAAAATTAAAAAGTAAGAAAAAAAAGGAAGAAAAATACAATGGACAGACAGAACCCTAGGCCAAATGGTAAAAGCAAAGCCATATAGACAAAATCATACAAAGAAGCATACACATACACACTCACAAAAAGAGAAAAAGGAAAAAAATATATATATATTAAAAAAAAAGGAAGCGAACAACCAAATCAATAAACAAATCTAATGATAATAAAGTCTAAATAGTAAAGTAAAATAAACATAAAACCAGAAACAAATTAGATGCAGAAAGCAAACCTCAAGTCTACAGTTGCTCCCAAAGTATACTGCGTCAATTTTGGGATGATTAGTTGTCTATTCAGGTAATCTACAGATGCAGGGTACATCAAGTTGATTGTGGAGATATATCCGGTGCTCCTGAGGCTGCTGGGAGAAATTTCTGTTTCTCTTCTTTGTACTGCTCCTGGCGTTTAGAATTTGGCCCTGCCTCTGCATGTAGGTCACCTGAGGGTGTCTGTTCTTCGCTCAGACAGGATGGGGTTAAAGTAGCAGCTGATTAGGGGGCTCTGGCTCACTCATTTGGGGGGGTGGGAGGGGTACGGAATGTGCGGAGAACCTGCAGTGGCAGAGGCCGGTGTGATGTTGCAACAGCCTTAGGCACGCCGTGCGTTCTCCTGGGGAAGTTGTCCCTGGATCACAGGACCCTGGCAGTGGCGGCCTGCACAGACTTTTGGGAAGGGAGGTGTGGATAGTGACCTGTGCTTGCACACAGCGTTCTTGGTGGCTGCAGCAGCAGCCTTAGCCTCTCACGCCTGTCTCTGGTGTCCACGCTGGTAGCCGTGGCTCGTGCCCGTTTCTGGAGCTCATTTAGGCGGTGCTCTGAATCCCTTCTCCTTGCGCACCCCGAAACGGTGTTCTCTTGCCTCTTTAGTAGGTCCAGATTTTCCCCAGACTCCCTCCCGGCTAAGCTGTGGTGCACTAGCCCCCTTCAGGCTGTGTTCACACAGCCAACCCCAGTCCTCTCCCTGGAATCTGACCTCCGAAGCTTGAAGCTCGAGCCTCAGCTCCCAGCTCCCGTCCGCCCCGGGTGGAGGGGGCAGACAAGCCTCTCGGGCTGGTGAGTGCTGGTCGGTACCAATCGTCTGTGCAGGAATCTCTCCGTTTTCCTCTGCATCCCTGTTGCTGCGCTCTCCTCCGTGGTTCTGAAGCTTCCCCGTGTCGCCCAACCCCCGTCTTCACCAGTGAAGGGGCTTCCTAGTGTGTGGAAACTTTTCCTCCTTCACAGCTCTCTCCCAGAGGGGCAGGTCCCGTCCCTAATTCTTTTGTCTGTGTTTTTTCTTTTGCCCTCCCCAGGTACTTGGGGGAGTTTCTTGCCTTTTGGGAAGTCTGAGGTTTTCTGCCAGCGTTCAGTAGGTGTTCTGTAGGGGTTGTTCCGTACATAGATGTATTTCTGATGTATTTGTGGGGAGGAAGGTGATCTCCAAGTCTTAGTCCTCTGGCATCTTGTACGTCTCCCTTCTGAATCTTGTAGATTTATTGAGATTTATGATCCACAATATGGGATATATTGGTAAATGTCTTGTGTTCACTTGAAAAGAATATGTATTCAGCTATTATTGGGTAAGTGTTCTATAAATGTCAGTTACGTCAAATTGGTTGGTAGTGTTATTTAATTCTTGTATACCCTTAATGATTTTCTGTTTACTTGTCCTATCAATTATTGAGAGAGACGTATTGAAATCTCCAGGTGTCAGTGACTAGGTCTCTCTCTCTTTGCAGTTGTATCAGTTTTTTTCTTCATGTATTTTGAAGTTCTGTTGTTAGAGGCAAAAAACACTTAGGATTCCCATATTCTTCAGATAAATCGACATCTTTGTCATTCTGAAATGATTTTCTTTATCCCTTGTAATATTCTTAGCTTTGAAATCTGGTTTGTCCAATGTTAATATAGTTATTCAGCTTATTTTGATTAGTGTTAGTACGATTTTTCTGTCCTTCACTTTTTTTTCTATTTGTATCTCTATATTTAAAGTGAATTTCCTTTAGTAAGTATATAGTTGGGTCTTACTTTCTTTAATCCAGTCTGATGATTTTTCTTTTTTCATTGGGGTGCTCAGACTATTAATAGTTAATGTAATTATTGATATGGTTATGGTTATTGATATGGTTAAATCTGTCATCTAACAATTTGCTTTGTATTTGTCTTACGTATTCTTTGTTCCTCTTTTCTGCTTTTTTTTTCTTTTGCCTCTTTTGGATTTTTTTTAATGATTTCATAAATTATTTTAAATAAGTACATTCCATTGTTTTAACACTTCTGTTTTACCTGTGGCTTATTTATTCATTAAAAATAATCCTTTATTTGATTTTTAAATTTATATAATTTAGCACACATTTATTAAATAGCTGTTGTATTCAGTACTTAGAGAAAGAGTTATTGGAGTAGGTGAATCTTGATCACGGCTTTGAAGGAATGGTAAGGTATGATTGGTTAGAGAATCTATTGTAGGTTAGTAGAAGGGCATGATTAAAGGCACAGCGGTGGAAATTAATAGAGCAAGATGGGTGAGCTAGCAGGAGGAACAAAAGTATAAAAATTTTAAGAATGTAATAGGAGATTGAAAATGCTTCAAGGATTGATTAAAGAAAAGGATTGGTAAAAACCTAACAATCTTAATGAAATTGTAAAACATATGCACATTTTATAACTTTACTTGTTTAACTGTCACTTTTTTTATTCTCAGGAAGTAAGCTACCATTAAAGAAAAAACCACTGAATTGAAATAAGGTTAAGATCAAAATCATGTTAAATCCTTACAACTGACTAATTATATTTGGCCATTAATTTCTTCAAGACCTTTTTAATTACCAAATAAATTGTTTAACTCTTATGTAACTTGATTGTTTTTTTTTAACAGTTTCCTGTTTTAAATTGTATAATGCTCTCTCTTGGTTTTATTTACTCTTGGACAACTCTCAATGTCCTTCATATAACCTTTTTCCTGTGCTGGACCCTCCAGTATTGTTAATATCCATGGTTCTATTGTCTGTCCCATATTTTTCTTTCTTTCTTTTTCCTCACAATGTACTTTCATATAGTTCTCTGACAGTTTCAGTGAGGGCTGGGAGGTTTTCAGATTTTGAGCTGCCTTGAACTTTGGACTGTCTACCCAAGTCAGGTTTGATTTTTTTTTTTTAACCAGTGATTGATAGATTTTAATTAATATCAACCTTTGAGAAAAGGTTTCACCTTGCCCCCATATACAAATTATCCACTGAGGTATTTGAGTCTGATGGCCTCCCTCTTAAAGAGTCTGATATCAGGCACTCCCTTGGTTTTACCTTCTATTTAATAATAATTTGTTCTAACAATTTGTTGAACTATGTTCTAACAAATATAATAGATGCTAGTACTATGTTCAACTACTGCCATAAGAGCTTTGTAGGTATTGATTTATTTGATTCTCACAGCATTATAAGGTAGTACTATTATTATCATCTCTATTTTTCAGACGAGGAATTGAATTTCAGAGAGGTTAAACACTTCATGCAGGGCTACCCCCAGCAAGTAATGGAGTCAGGTGTTTGAACTCAGGTAGTCTAACTTCAGGGCCATGCTTCTAACTAGATATTTTTATAATCTTCTGGAAATCCTTCCTTTTATGTAAGTATGTCAGATAATTAAAATTCAGTGTCTCCAAACCTGAAGTCATTGTTTGCTTTCCATCTGCACTGTCTTCCCCAAGGAAATTTGTTTCTCTTTTCACATCTTAGTTAATGTTGTCGTTTTCCTTTTGGTCATTTAGGCATTAAATTTGAGTCATTCTCAAATGATTCAGAAAGTGCTACTACTTTCTCCTTCCTTCAATTGATCCCTGCATCTTATTGATTTGTCCTTTTAATAACTGTTGAAAAAGTACATTCTGTTCATTTTCATTGTCTCAACTTAGTTAAAGTCAGTTGTGATCTCTCATTTGGAATAGCTATTCATTCTCTTCTCAGAGATGCTTGTGTGCTCTCTGGTACCTTGATTATCTTAGCACTCTGTAATTGTTAGCTTATGTGTCTCTCTTCTCCATTAGACTCTGTTCTCGTAAAGAAGGACTGTGAATTATGATTTTGTACTCTCAGTGCCTAGCTTAATATGTCACATACAATTGGTGTACAATAAATATTTTGTGAATACATGAATTAGTTTGTCATTAGATGTTAGTTTTGATGGCTTTGATAACTGTTTTTGTTTTGTTTTTTATTTTGGTCTACTTTTGGAAAAGTGTCTTTCAATGCCTAATTTTTTCAAAAGCTGTACATAGTTTCTGTAATTGTAGCGATCAAGGATAAAATGGATTCTTTCATGTAGTTACATGTTATCTTCAGAATATATTGTATAGTAAAATAACTTCAAAACTGTTAGAATCTTTTTATGGTTTGTGATAGTCCAAATCTTTAATTATATTTTCAAGAATGAAATATGTATTATATTCACTTAGTAGCAATGGAACAGAAAGAAGTGTTTATATTCTTTACCTATGCAAAAATATAATTTATATAAACCACTGCCATCTCAGAATGAGTGTGTTAAAAAGGAGTAAGCAGGTGTCATAAATCTTTATTCTTGGTAAAGAATATAATAGTTGAATGTTAATTGCATCCAATATTTAAGTAATGACAGAAAGTGATAGGGAATTTTTGGGTCCAAATTTAATGCATGGCAGTGGGCCTGCATTTACTAATTTCTGAAGGTAGCTATATTCCCTGATAATTTCCCTGCATCAAATAAATGAAGATATTGTTCTGAGGGGAATGCACAAAAGGTGGCAGTTGTTTTCTACATAAGTAAAATTTTCATATGCAACATGCTGCTGACTGTGGGACTATCAGGCTTCTTTTTGTTTTTCAAAGCACCATTCTGCTTAACTGTTAACTCTGTGCTTGTGCTTTATTTGCAGCATCTGGCGAGGCCCCAATGTGAACTGCACAGACAGTTCGGGTTACACTGCTTTACACCATGCAGCCTTAAATGGACATAAGTAAGTGCCACTTATTTGGACTGGAATCTTTGTGTATTTAGTTACATGTGATGAAGTTAATTATGTCTGATGGTACCTGTCTCATGTTGCCATGAGTCCCCTGGGCTTAGATGAATTTGGAGAGGCACCAGGTGTTCAATACCTGACAAGTTGGAAGTGGTAGGAATGTTGCTGAGATGATTATGTGCAGAGTGTAAGTCAAGTCAAATATCACACAGGGAAAATGGAAGAAGTGACAGAACCATGTTAGTCGTGTGTACCTTTGGTGAGGGAATGGGATACCTCACTTAATGACACCTCCCTACTTTTTTGGGTGTCTTCACCAAATATAGGATTATTCACTAGGAGTGAACTCTTTAATAGAGTCTTGCTGTTATAAGGCATAGGCACTTATATGAACTACTTCAAAATCCTCAAACTAAGCTAAAATGCTTTGTCTTTGTCCTTCATGGATGGTCTTTCAGGTTTTAAACTTCTTTAACCTGTTTTTCAGAAGGAAAATGACCCTGTTCATGTGTCTCCCCTCCTATGTGTTTTTCCTTTGCTTTAATGATTCAAGTTAGTCTTTTCAGATCTGGATCATTTCATTTCACTTCAGTTTTATTAGATGTGGTAATTACTGCCTTAAAAGTGCTAGTTACCTTTTATTTTCGCACTTAACATTTCTTTCATTCTGTGAATTGAGACACAAGGGACTTAGTTATACTTGATCACATTTTAAGGCCTTAAAGCTCTCATGGAAGAAACATCATTTTTGTCATTATTTATCATTATGACATTTTAATCTAACTTATTGCATAAATTGAACATTATCATTCTGTTTGAAGAATCATACAAATTATATAAAATACCATGAACTGAATGTTTCATCACTTAGATTTTTAGTATTGGAATTCCCAAATTATATTTCTTTTCACCCACTCCTGATTCTTTATTATATCAACTTATACCATCTAACTTAGAACTTTTTATTTTGCTGAGTGTTTTTCAGCTATATGCTATCCTTCTGTAGAGTGGAAAATGTGTCCAGATCCCTAACATCTGAATCTTTTAAAGGAATTACTATTTATTCTTCTTTGTACCTGAGTCATCAGGAGTGAAATCTATTAAATAAGCCCAAGCTGGCTTCTTTGGCCATCTTAGTTGTAGATTCAGGGTGGTACCATATTTCTTAGTTCCAATGGGGAAGACAAACTATCAAATGTAATGGACAGAAGATCTTGAGCTTGACCATTTGAGCTATACAACTTTTCTTGTTCTATCTCAGCTTGGCATTATAAGTATTTCTCAAAATAATATTGTCCCCAAATACACATATCGCTTCTTGATTTTCAGTGAAGTTTTTAGTAAATGTTACTGGTTTATACATGACATCCTGTGAAGTTCTAACCATTGAGATATATTTCTCTGAGGCCTCTTGCATAATCCTTTTTTTTTTTTGTGTGGTACGCGGGCCTCTCACTGTTGTGGCCTCTCCCGTTGCGGAGCACAAGCTCCGGACGCGCAGGCTCAGCGGCCATGGCTCACGGGCCCAGCTGCTCCGCGGTATGTGGGATCCTCCCAGACTGGGGCACGAACCCATGTCCCCTGCATCGGCAGGCAAACTCTCAACCACTGCACCGCCAGGGAAGCCCTCTTGCATAATTCTTAGTTTTTATTGGCAGTATACAAAGTGAGGATAATTTAAGTGATTGAATAGCAATCATTAAAATTATCAGAAAGAGATGAGGCTTTGACTGTATATCTTTTAAGATCTCTTTAATTGCAGATGTTCTCTGAGAATTGTATATCTCTGCTTTGCTTTTATATAAAGGTCTCATTTATCTTTTCTTTTAAACTCTTTCTAGAAAGATTTTGCTTAGTGTCATTCTGTAGGTATTGGAAAAAAGCAGGAAAATTCGAATCCCATCTCTCCCTCCCTGCTAGTTATGTGACCTTGAGCCATTTCATTAACCTATTTAGGCCTCAGTTCAGTGTACTGAATACAGTGGCTGCATATTTTTTGTTGTTACTTCCAATTATAACATTTTATGATACACTGTTTTATTATTGTTTGCGGCTCAGTTATGTACTATGATGTTACAATTCTGAAATTTGGATTTTCATCTAAAGTATAAGATTTCTTGATTTTAAATGATTTAAGTTACCAAGGACTTTTAAAATTAGAGATCATTTATTCTACCCTGCCCTCCTCACTTCTTTCATTTTATAAATGGAGAAACAAGACCATTCTGGATGACTTAGTGGCCACTTAGTTATTAAGGTGGGGCTGTTTCTAGAGTCTAAGTGTTCCTGGTTCCAAGTGTATGCTTTTACCAGTACTTCACATTATATCCCCTCTGTGGCTGTATGCACATCAGTTTTCTAAATTCTTGTTGGTTTTTCTCTGTCACATTATGTATTTCTTGTTCCCGTTATCAACAAGTAGTGTGTTCTCATGGAATGCTGGTTTAAATATTGGCATAAGAAAAGATATTTGACAGATAAAAAAGTGTCATAGAATATACCTCAGAGCCAGAGGAGAATGGTTTTTCTTTTCTTTGTCTTTGCTATTCTCACTTAGCATAGGTAATAAACTATTGTGTTGTATTCTTCCCAAGCAAAAGATATTTTTTTATGTCATAGACATTCTTCTGTGTCAGCATAGAAACACATCATTTCTATCTTTATTCCTGCTGCTTTATATCCATCAGCTCTAGGTTGTTTTCATAAGCATTACGATTTCTAGGCTGAAGTTCATGGAATTATAGAGCTGGAAGAAATATTACAGAGTCCTATAGTTTATTCTTTTGCTTTGGGCACACGCTTTCCCCTTCCCTCCAATATATAATCTATGGCCTTGTGACTTCCCTGGTGGTCCAGTGGCTAAGACTCCGCACTCCCAATGCAGGGGGCCCGGGTTCGATCCCTGGTCAGGGAACTAGATCCCACATGCTGCAACTAAGATCTAGCATGCCTCAACTAAAGATCCTGTGTGGCACAACTAAAAGATCTCACATGCTGCAACTGAAGATCCCACATGCCGCAACGAAGGTCCCATGTGCCACAACTAAGACCCAGTGCAGAAATTAAAAAAAAAAAACTATGGCCTTCATACTACATATTAAGCCTGTATCCTCTTTATTTTGTACGTTTTATTGGGAGTTATTATTTATCAATGGTAGTTAATCCACAAGTGGAGCAGCATTTTATACCTGAAATACATTATTTTATAATGAACAATTCATCTCCACTTAGCCACATCAGGACACAATAGAAAATGTAATGTACTCTGGTGATTTCTGAGTCATTTGTAATTACAGATTAGAAAATTTTTACCTTCAAATGATATAAAAAACATGGTCAGTAGAACAAATTTAACTAGTGATGATTATAAATAAATTATTTCAATAGATAGGCTAGAGATTTTTCTCTTTTTCAAAATACGGAGGATTCATTGTCTCGCCCATGTATTTCTACTGCAAATTTGATTCACTTAATTCTCTTCTGAATAGCAATTAGCCAGGTTTCCTCCCTCCTTCCCTCACTCCTTCCCTTACTCCCTCCTTTCTTTTCTTCCTTCTTCATGCCTTTCTTATTTCCCTCTCTTCCTCTGTCCTTCTTTTCTTTCTTCTTTCCTTTCCCTCTGTCTTTTTAACTAATAATCTTATCACTCCCTGTAAGGTTTTACTAAACCTGTATATTCATGTTTCATTTCAATTCTCCTTCTTTTCTTAGCAACTTGCTCCTTTTTTTTTTTAAAGTTCCATCTCATTAAACTATGTTGGGTACATTGTAATTCTTGGCTACTGTTTTGGAAAATGTCAGTACTAAATTGTTATTGTATCTTTGAAATATGTATGTTATTTGTTATGTGCAGGGTTAAAATATTTTCTATTCTCACTTCTCATTCTTTAAATATTTAATGCTTGAATCCTAGACTCCATTATCTATAATCCAAATTGTATCTCAAATTGTATCTCGAATCCACATAGTAAGCTATCTGCTGCACTTTTGATTTGCTCAGAGTAGGCTTTCTAATGAAAGAAGGGTACTTCCTCTAAAAATTTGTTTAATCTAGTCCATGAAATTGCCCTTTGAGTCACCTACAAATATCTTTGGTTGATTGCTTCTTTCTTGGATAAGGCTATTAACTAGTTAAACTTTGGCTTTATTCACTCTATCTGGAAATCTGTGAGAGTGAATTCAGTATATAAAGGAGCTCCAGTTAGAAAATGGAGTGTATTGTCCTAAAGGCTTTTGACCATGTTGAACACATTTTCAACTTTATTTTCATTAAGAAGAAGTAAAATCTTCAAGAAAGTGTGAAATCAAGAGGGCCTTCATGAATTTGAGAATTTCATTAGTTTGTTAATACTACATCCATATGAAGATGATTTGCATTTATTTCAAAATTCTTTGCATTACCAACAAATACAGGAGGATGGAACAAAATAAATGTCTTTGGTTAATTATAGGGAAAACTTGCTGTTGAGGTAAAGAAATTTGAGTGTTGAATCTTCCCAATTAATTTAATTTTGCTCAGAACATATACTGAACTTCTTAAAAGACATTTCATGTTAATCAGAAGTATTATTTATGTCTGTCAGAAAATGAAACAACTTAAACATAGTAGCAAAAGTCAATACTTTTAGAATTCCTGTTTTTACCTGAACTTACATATATTAGCCTCAAGCTACAAAATGTTGCAGTGATTTAAGTTGGATTATTATTAAATTTAATTTGATATTTTTGTTTTTTTCCTGGGAAATGGAATTATTTTTCCTGTGATCTCATCAACTACATTTATTTTAGTGTTTTGGAACATTTCTTATTTATCAAACGCTGTTAAGGAAGAATGCCACTTTAAGATATAGGGATTACTTCTTTGCTTGCTATTCTGTAGACAGTGTTCATTAATATAACTTAATATTTCATGCCAGGTAACCAAGTATGGTCAAAATATTCATTTCTGGATACCTCTGGAAGATATAAGATGCAACTTAAATAAAAATTTAAAAATAGGTGTTAACTAGGCTTATTATGGTGATCAGTTTGCAGTATATACATATATCAGATCATTATGTTGTATACTTGAAACTAAAGTCCTGTTATATGTCAATTATATCTTAAAAACAAAACAAAAAAAACCTTGATTTGGTGGGATCCTGTATTAACTACTCTTCTTGTTTAGACATTAAAGAAAGTACCTGAAATTTAATTTGCTCTTGATGAGCCTGGATGAAAAAGGCCTGTATAATACATATTGCTTGTCATATACAAGGGATATACAATCATAAGAAATTAATGACACTATATTGATTAATATTTTGCTTAAGATTCAGCAAGACTAACAGGCACTTATTTGAGCAAAGATATAACTTTATATTTCACAGATATGTTTTCACGTTAGAAATCTGAGCTCAACCAGTTTATTAGCTGGTATCTCTGAACAAGATGACAGTCTCAACTTAAATAAAAATTTAAAAATAAATTTAAATTTAAAAATAAATTTAATAAGATATTTATTTAATAAAATGAATAAACTTCAAAAAACTGAAATAAAAATAATAGTATTTATTTAGGAGATTGGTGTTCACCAAAGATAATTTCATAAACATGAAGGTTTTTCTTTTCTGATTTAGATGATAGTAATACTATACAATACAAATGATCAGTATTATTCAGTTTTTTCACTATGTCATACATCTTCCTGATAGATAAAGAATGAATGCACATCACATACATTATTAGAAAATGTCAACAAAAATTGAGCCAAATAACAAATGAAATTCTGAATGGTTTGAGTGAGAATAAAAGAAAATAGTATTGATGATCCCATCAAACTTTTCTTTACTCCCAGAAAGGAAATGGTTTTAGAAATTTCAGACTTTTTTTTTTTTTTTTTTTTTTTTTGCTTAGGCTTTGAGGGATGAAATTAAAACCCTTCACGTAATTGTCTTTCTTGCTATATGAATTTGGAGAAGGCTGGTTTTTTTGTAGGATAAATCCTACTTGTTACATCCAGGTATTTAACTGTGCTTCCTTTGGTATTATTTTAACTTTTATTTAAATGCTGATATATTTCAGTTAAAAAAAATCACTAGAATTGTTCAATCTTGCAGTAAACTGCTTTAAGAATAGTTTTTGATTGTGTACAGTTTTGTAGTCATTTTCCTTTCTCATTTGATTCACACCAAAACTCTTTGAGACTGGCAACAATATGTAATCTCTAAATTCTATTTTAACAATATCTGAAAGAGAGACAGAGGTTATTTGAATTGTCCAAGGTAGCCAAGTTAGTAAGTACTAGTGGAAAGTTGGGACTTCAAACCAGATCTTCTGGTTCTCAGCTGCTTTTGTTATTCATAAGTATTGAATTCTTTTTACCACTTTGTAAGTTATTTATCTCAGAATGGATGACCCTATATAACAACTTTTACGTAGCAGAGAGGTGAGAAGAAGCATAGAAACTGGACAAACTTCAGGTTTTCTTCTGATTTTCAGACTGTTTTTGCCAAAGGTGATTTGAAGGAAGCATTTTTACTTTTAAAGTATTTTATTTTTATTTGGGGCAAGAACTAATATTTGTATAGTGTTTTACTGTTTATTGAGTGGCTTCTCTTTTATGTTCTCGTTTACTGTTCTTACCAGTCTTGAGCAACAGGCACTATTATTATTATTTATATTATTTTCTACAGGAAAGAAAAAGAAAAATGAGACTAAATAATACTCTAGGGGTCATATCATTAGGTAGTTTGCATAGCTGAGACTTTAAATTCAAGTCATTTAAATTCAAAGCTTATAAAATAATACTGATTTTAGAAAAGAAATGTTAAAATGAGGTTTATTTTTATTTTCTCTGAAATCTTATCATTAGAAACTGCGTCAGTGATAGTATTTGTCTCATAAATGAATTTCCCTCTTAAAATCATTTCTTAGCCTTGGAGGAGGAAGGTGAAAGAGTGCACAAGTATAAATAACACACATTCAAAGTATGTCCTGTGCCATGGCTAAAAGTTATTAAATTTTTTTTTCAACCTTGGGCTTATACTGCAGGGTCTCTTTCCTACTGTGCTGCTTTCTCTTTTATATGTATCTTCAATCCCTTATTCCAGTTCTCTGTAGGGATGCCGTGTAAACTCCCTAAATGTCTCTTGGTAGTATAACTTCTTTTTTGTAAACAGGGAGTTTGCTTGCACCTCAACTCTTCCTTCAGACTAAATCTCAGATACAGGTTATCTGGAAATACTCCCTTTTTGAAAAAGATGAGAGGAGGTATTCTTTTAAGTTATTTGACTAAATTCGTTCAGTTAATAAAATTAGATAAATTTTGCTGAAATGAATTCTATTAGGTAGTTTTATGGTTAGTCAGTGCTCTGTGTGTGTATGGTGGTGGCTTGTTCCAGGTAAGTAAAATAGCCAAATGCTGAAGAGGCAAACTCTTAAACCCAATTGTATGTCTCGGTACCTTGAATGATTACTATAAATTGCCAGCCAGTATCTAGTATACTTTTATAATTATCTGTTTAATAAATGCTGCATTGTTCAGCATATTTTCTTTTCTGTTGTATTCTTTTGGTTTTTCTACTTCTTAGGGACATAGTTCTCAAACTGCTTCAATATGAGGCATCAACAAATGTAGCAGACAACAAAGGTTATTTTCCTATTCACCTGGCTGCCTGGAAAGGAGATGTGGAAATTGTGAAGATTCTTATTCATCATGGACCATCGCATTCCAGAGTCAACGAACAGGTGCACTTGACAAATATTTGCTCATGCTATGATTTTTCGAGAGTTTTGCGGAGCCAAAGACACATTGAAAAATTGATTATTTCTATCTTTACCCTGCCAAAGACCTTTCTACTGCTGAATTTCCTAAAGGAGAAAGTTGAAAACTTCTTTGGCATTTGTATATGGTACAAATGGTACAAATATGGTACATTGGCACTAAGCTGGACATTTGTAAAGATATTTGTTAACAAGAAAATCCCACATAAAGGAAGTAGTTGTAGTATTTTTGCCTGCTTTACGTAAGCATCCATTTTATATTTATTGAATATTTAAAGATATAACAGAATTCACATTTGTAATGTGAATTAGTTTTTCTTAATAAAATTTTAAATGCTAAAATGGTGACAACTATCATTTGCATAATGCTTTACCATTTACATAGCACTTTCACATTAAGTACAGTTTTGTGAATTAAAATGCAAAATACAATGTATACAGTTGCTAGTCACACATTAAATTAAAAATTTCCTGTATGTATAGAGATTATATCTATATCTACACATACATATATATATATATACACACACACATACACACACACACACACACACCCGCCCAGAGTAAGTTGAGTAAAAAAAAAAGCAGCAGGACGTTACTGATAGATAAAGTCAAAATATTTACAAGTACATAGTATCCATGTTACATATAATGCATATATTTAAAAAGTAATGCCATTCTCGGTATTCTAAATAAATAAGACCACAGATTCCAGAAAGTAAAATACAGTCCTCTAGTACAGTATAACAAACATCTTGGGCTCTGAATGCCCCCTACTGTTCCCATTTTGTAAAACCATATTTGAAAACCAGCATGTAGTCCAACAACTGAATTACAAATATGGCATTAAGCTGCAGGTTGGCAGTTATCCAATATCAATGGAAGTAGGTTACTCCAGGGTAAGCACATCTAATGAAGTACAATTAGCATATTGTTCAAATGGATACAGACTTTGCAGACCTTTGACTGAAATTCAGATTAAAGAATAAAAAGTAACACTTGCCAGCTGTGAACAGCAAAGGGAAGAAAAATGTATATTTTTTTCTTACATCAAAAGGTAGTTGTATAAAGAACTAATCAAGAAAAATGTTTTATTAATTGGAACACTGTCATTAATATTTATTGCAATAAAATGTCTGTTTACAGGTTACAAAATACAGAATATTTTTATGAGAATACACTCATTAATTCAAATCTATAAGAAATGACAGATATGGCTATCTTTATTGGCATATCATGCTAAAAGGAAATTTATGAGAATGCTAACTGTTTCTCAGAAAACCAAGTTAAAAGATCATTTGTGGAATGAGCCATCTGGTGGTTATTCTTAAAACTGTCTGAATGCCCCAAAGCAAACCTGAAATAATAAGATGGAAAAACAAACCAAGATTAAGCAAGGGAATGTTAGTTTCTTCAAACAATATTTTTTAAATGACATAAAAATAAGAAAGAAAAACCCTAGAATTTATTTACATTTGAAAGCTGAATACTTTATATGGCATATAACTGTAATGGTGTGTTTTAAATAGAAAGTTATTTTTTGTGATGTTGAATAAATTTAAATATAAAAAAGGTTTTTTTGAGGTGATTGGACTTCAGAATTCCTTTTTCACTTCTCTTGCTTTATGTTGTGGTTTCTATTGGAAACAAGTTGAAATTTCTTGAGGTTTTTAATACCATGCTTTCAGTATTTTTTGTTTGTTACTATGTATATACACTTTTAGTGCTGACATAGTTCTCTCATTCAATGTCATTTCTTCTAAAAGTTTCTGATGTCGGAATTTTGTTTTCACAGGTAAATTCTGATTTTAGCTTTATTTCTTTTTTCCCCACGAATGGGACAGAAATATGCTAATTAATCATAAGCCTTTATGTATTTAAGCAATAGAGGGCAGGAATGAAAATGGTAATGAACATTTATTGAGACCTATGATAACCAGGCACTGTGCTAAGCACTTTTACCTGTGATATGTTAGTTACTTAGTTCTCGCAATCCTCTGAAGTGATTTTTATCACTTCCATTTTATAGATGGGAAATCAGCCTCAGTAAAGCTAAGTAACTCTTCTAAGTTCACACATTACTGAGTGACTTAAACTGAGACTTGTATTCAGATCTCTGTAATTCCAGAGCCCTCCACAATAGCACATTGGTATTCTAAGTGGTAAATCCTATCACTTATGGAGTGTTTACTATATGCCAGGCATTGTGCAGAGTACTTCATCTACATTATCTTTCTAAGCTCTACCACAGCCTGATGAGGTAGGTGTTAATTACTGTTCCTACCTTATATATGGGGAAAGTACCTTAGAGAGATTAAGTAACTTGCCCATGATATCACAGCTTCTAAAAAATGCAGCCAGTATTTGAATTCAGGTTTTTCTGATCCAAAGCCCAAGCTTTTAACCAGTAATACACTATGTTATAATGTTAAAATTATGCATAACTGTCAGGGTTTCATTCTGATTTCTGAATGCTGTCTTTGGTTTCTAATACAACTTTCTTTAAAAGTAATTCTACCTTATGTTTTAATGTTTAAAGCTTATAAGGCATTTTCCTATATGTTATCTCTTTTGGTTTACAAACTGTATTCTAAGGTTATAGGGAAGGTAATATTCTAATTTTACAGTAAGATAAGTTAAGAGAGATAGAGTGATTTATTGTTGCTAATAAGTACGTGTTAGCACTTCGACCTGGATCACCATTTTATACTGCCTTAGAATTAGTGGTCAACTTAGGGTGACATAATTTTGAAAATAAAGTGGACTCTGCCCTGATTTTTATAATTGCCACATCCTTCCTGTCTTTTGTCAACAGGTTTATTTCCTTTCTTCTGATGTTATGTGTGTTTTCAATTTATATTTCTCTGTATATTCGTTTCCCTCCTGCCTTTCCTTCCTCTTTCCTTTTCGTCCACCTTCTCTTCCTCTTTTCTTCTGTATTTTAACATTAGAGCAAAAACCAGAGGAGCCTTATCTCATAAGTATATTCCCTTGCCATTCACCAGAACTCAAATCCAACTAGTGTTAGATAGTTTCCATTAGTTTGACTTTGAAGTAAGATCTTTGGTAAATAACTTTTGTTAGCCAGTTTCATACTGCCACCCATTGTCTGGAAGTATCCTAATTTTTCAGAGAACACTCATCTGGTAAAAAAGAAGGAATTCAAAACAGTTTAAGAATATTTAATGTAGACATACTAGCAATTATTAACTGGTGCTTTATCACAGCCTATTTATTTCAAATTGGATTTTTTTAGACCACTAGTGAGTATGGACATGAGTATACAACCATGCCTTTTTGTAAAGGTAGCACAGTTGTGGTCTTCACTGACGTGACAAGCCAAGTGTGTGTTTGATATTACAGATAAACTCTATGAACATTTTCTCCTGAGTAAGACTTGAATGATTGAAATAACTTTTTCTTGAGATCTGAACAGTGATAACTGGAGTTAATAGAAAAATTTCAATTTTGCACTTATAATTTCCTAGGCTAAGGCCTTTGCAAAGGTAGAGAGGTCTTTGAGGTATTGTTTCATAATTTACTTTTCTTTTCCTCAAAGAGGGAGTATATCTTAAAAAATGAGATTGAATCTCTTTTCAACCAATGGGAAATTTGGTTTGGTCAGGAGGCATATTTCTATATCATATTTTCATGGTTTAAGGTAATAAGATTGATTTTTAAATCAGGTTTATAAAACTTGGCCAGATAATAAAATCAGGGAGTGCAAGCCTCTATGTTGTCAGTCTGTAAGGAAATAGACTATGATAACACATTTAAACTAAGAACAGGAATGGCTCACCCAAAATGCTGGAAAAAACAATACCTCCAGCTAGATTCCCCATCTGTCAGATCTTAACTTTTTGTTGACTGTCTTCAAGGAGTAGCTTTTCCTTTGCGTTTGGCCTTCAGATGCCCTCTTCTGATACTTGTTTTGGAAAAGTAAAGTAGTAAGAAGACTTTTCTGTGCTTTTTTTCCCCCATCACTCCTCTTTTTAAGTTTTCAAATCTTCTCTCTACTCTCAACTTACTTATCTGCATTGTTTTATCATCCAGAGCAAGGCTGAGTTACTTTCTGGAACGATAAGATTTGTTTGGGTTTGTACCCTTAGAACAGCTATCTAAGCAGTTACTTCATATTTCAACTCAGTTGATGTTCTTTTGGGAAAAATCTATAGAAATTCTGCTTTCAGATCACTAGCTCCATGTTTTTCTTCTTTGGCAATAAAGAAACACATGGCAGGCAGTGTGGTACAGTGGAAAGAGCATAAATGGGTTTTTGATTCTGATGGATACAGGTTCCAAAAGATACTGAATCTTCTTGGGCATGTAATTTAACTTTTTTGTATTTTAGTTTCCTCATCCATGAAGTGGAGATGTTAATACCAATCTTGTAGGATCATTTGTAAGAGTTAAAGGAGACAATGTATGTAAAGTTTTTAGACACTCAGCAAATGGTAGTAGTAATAGTTTCTATTGTGGAAGATGGTATTAAAAGTACCAACTTTGGGTCTAGGCTATTTAGGTTCAAATTCTGGCCCCAATACTAAATGGCTGTATAATTGAAGGGCAATTATTCAGCTACTTACTACCTCAGTTTCCTCATCTGTAAAATGGGGATAATGATAATAATATTTATCTCCTAGTGAGGATTAGATGAGTAAACATGAAATGCAACTGTACCTGGCACATAGTGATAGCTATGATAATGACTCTGATGATGAAATCCTCCCTTGCTCCCTAGAACCCTCATTTAGGACATTGCATTTTTGTTACTAAAATTTCTTGTTCACATTTCTCCTGATTGACCCTTCTGCCTCCTGACATAGTCATACTGCATATACCTACACCATCTGCCCAAAGAATCTGAAAGGGTACATCTCCCTTGCAAATGGGTTCAGTTTTCTCCATTTTGACATTTTTTATTCTGCTGAATTCCTGGGGAAATCTCATTGATTTTCAACTGAAACACTTATAAGCTACACGTGTAATACTGTGATACGTGTATGGTATGGGTATGGTCTGCTTCTCAATCCATGATTATATTTCAAAAAGATATGGTTTAACCTTAGGGCCAGTATGTCTTTATTCTCTTTGCAAAAGAAGCACTGATTTATACTTAAACGAAAGATAAAATGAAACTTAACTTGGGAAGCCTTTCTGTAAATCTTTCATTATCAAAGACTGTACTATCTCAACTATCTTTTGGAAAGCCAGTCTGTTAAAAGTGTATTATAATTCTTATTAATCTCTCTCATTAACAAATGTCATGGAGGCACGATGCACAGTGCAGATAACACTGACCATCTTGGCCCAGCAGGGCTACTGACTAACATGGCTAAATCATTTATCACTCTTGGAAGTTGGAATATATAGTGTAGGGAAAAGTTTGATTTTTTCATTTGAAGTAATAAAAATAAAATGTGATATTTTTGGTGTAATAAATGATAGGTACTAGTATCAAATATAAAATTCTATTAGGCATACTTATTAAAACAGATAAATCTTAAACTTACATTTTCAAAGCATCTCAGGTTTTAAATGACTGTATATAGGTTTTGATAAAGGATTGAATTTCTGAAAACTTGCACTTTATGTCTTTGTCTTAACAGAACAATGAAAATGAAACTGCCCTACACTGTGCAGCTCAGTATGGACACTCAGAAGTAGTTGCTGTTCTGCTGGAAGAGCTCACTGATCCTACCATCAGGAACAGCAAGCTGGAAACTCCTCTGGACCTGGCAGCCCTCTATGGACGGCTTAGAGTGGTCAAAATGATCATCAGTGCACACCCTAACTTAATGAGCTGCAACACTCGAAAGCACACACCACTACACCTTGCTGCACGCAATGGTCACAAAGCAGTTGTTCAGGTGCTGCTGGAAGCAGGAATGGATGTGAGCTGTCAAGTGAGTCTTCTTTTAGCTATGTTTCAAAAGCAATGGTGCTTTTGTTTTGCTTTGAGATACAGATGTTAAAACTTACAGGAAGAAATCTTACCATTTTTTAACTGGTCAAACGGTCTACATGTATCTTTGTAACTACTCAATTCAAAATACCCCACCACATAGCTGGGAAATATGAAGAAATATAAGGCATAATCTCTAACCTCATTCTACCTTGAGGGCTATACACATGAAAAATTATTACTAGATGGCAGTTGTGTGTGGTCTCCTTAGTAATTGTTTCCTTTCTCCCAGTATCTAGCACACAGCCTGACATACACCAGTAATTCAGTCCAGTCGAAGTTGAATGAATGAATGAATGAAAGGAACGAAATTCACTTTAACATTTTTGAGTTGTACTTTGTGTTTAATATGTTGACACATTTAGAATACAAATCTCACAGCTATCCTGTGGGATTGAGAGCCATTAAATTCCAGTACAGAGATGAGGAATCAGATTCAAAGACTAGGAAACTTGCCTAAGGATACATAGCTCGTAAACCCAGAATGTGAATTTAGACTTACTGATTAAAGTCCAGGCTTTTTTCCACAATAATGTACCTCTATACATGACTAATAAAGGAAGGATCACTATGCTTACGGGCAATAAGAAAACAATTTATTGGGAGGTGTGATTTGAGTTGAGCTTTGAAGGACAGACAACATTTGGATAGATTTTGTTTCTCCACAAGGAAAAGCAACTTGCTTTTGTTATCTGTCTCATTAGCCCTAATTCCAAGGTTAGCTTTTCTTTTTTTTTTTTTTTTTTTTTTAACCATTTTCTCCTTTTATGACTGTTTTTTTTTAGACCCCAAGTCACTGGCAATCTACTTACCTTCCAGAGATCCTTTTGGTTCCCGTCAGATTATGACTTTTCTCCCCTATATATTGATAAGCTATTGCTGCATAATAAACTGTACCAAAATTTAACAGCTTAACACAATAACCATTTATTTAGTTTATAATTCTGAGGTTATGGTTTAGTCTTAGCTTATATGGGCAGTTCTTCTGTCCTGACTGGGCTCTCTCTCATGTGTCTTGGGTCAGTTGTAAATCAATTAAGTGTCTGTGCTTCAGGTAGTAACTGGCTGTTACCTGGAGTAATGGGTGAGACTGCTGTGTGTCTTTCATAATCAAGCAGTCCACCTTGGGCTTGTTCACATGGTAGAGAGAGAGAGAGTGAGAGAGAAACAGGATTATACAAGGCCTCTTGAGGTCTAGCTTTGGAACAAACATATTGTGTCTTTTGCCATGTTTGATTGGGCAATACGTCACAAAGGCATCCCAAATTCAAGGGGTAGGAAAACAGACTCTACCTTTCAATTAGAAGAGGGTGTGAATTATGAAAGGGTTGTGAATACCCAGAGGCAATAAATGCAGACAGTTTTGTAAACAAATCTACACATTCAAGGTGGAATTAGTGCTCAACTGTGAGGTTATCTTCCTAGGAGTTGTTGAGGTTGAATACTGTGTCTCTCGGGTTTTTTGTTTGTTGTTTAAGTTTTAAAAATCCTAGGCCTTCTAATCTTAGGTGTCAGGCTGACTCCCTGCATCAGAATTTTCCTTAGATCTTTGCCTGTGTTATTTAGTTGTTTAGATATTTGTAATATCTTTTCTATATTGCTTATTCTACTTTGGCAGCCTTGAAAATAAGCACAAGAATTTTTTTTAGCCCTCATATTTAAGAAAAAAACAACTTTGCTTGCAAAGGGGTATTGAAATGAGATAGATATATGTTTACTATTTATTATAGGTGACTAACAAAGTTACTTTTTCAAAGTATGTTTAATGATAAGCTAGATGTTTATTGTCTAAATGTTGAATTTCTCTAATCTAGATTTATTGCTTTTATTAACACTTTTGGAATATTTCTAAACTGTATTGCACAGATTGCATTATAACCAAGGACTTTAACTATGGCTGTTTGAGATCAATAATTCACTCTGACTAGAAAAGTAAGAGTTCAGATTCAATTTTATAAATTTATATTTTTTATGCAAAACACTGTATTTTGTGCTTTTGGAGAATTAAAGATAAAAAAGATCTGTGCCCAAAATTTGGTGGAGAACACAACAACTTGCAAGAATAACTTCTGTTACATGACATATTAAAATAAATGCTAGGACAAAGTGCTATGAAGATATAGGTGAGAAAAATAGATTTAAAGAGGGAGAACTTGGGAAGACATTGAAGAGTGATGTTTGAAGAAGACCTTGAAAGTCTAAAAGGACTTTGAATTTTAGGTGTAATTTAGCTTGCAGATGTGCATTATTTGGCTAAAACAGTGTTTTAAAATGTTGAATTTTAAATACTTCCTGATGGGGTATATACCTTCTAAGATCTCAGCCTCTCTCTATGATTCATTCCTTTAGATTTTTCTACTTGGCCACTGATAGCATTTGGTTTTGTTACTCACAAATCAGATGAAAGGGTACACAGTATGTTCAGAATACGTGAACACTTAATCAGAAGCATCAGGGCAGGTACCCGAGCAGGATGGGCAACATTTTGGTTGCTATACCTCTTTCACTGATGCTCACTCTGATTTCATCTTGAAGGTTCCAGGAAGCAGAGCTGACAACATATTTCTACAATACATCTCAATGACTTGACTCTTCCATTAGTTATAGTTAGCGTTAGTTGATTTTTTGTTTTTATTATTATTGCTTTGTTCATATAAAACATTTTTTGGCATCTCATTACCCTTTTTTATGATTATTTAATTTTTTTATGTTATTCAAATTAACTGTCACCTAGGTTTACCATCAGATTCACTATAACATTTTTTAATATTAAATTTGAAGTAAAGATTTGTTGATATTCTCACTGGCTGAGAGTGAACCATACCAGTTAGTAACCTTAAACTGTTTCAGTGGCTTTAATATTCATTAATTTGTTAACTAGTTGGAAGTTAACAGTATTAAAAGTAATCCTATTTGGTAAATCACAGTACTACATTTTTAGACTTCAATTACATTCAAGTTATTATGAATAATTCTTCAAAATTTAGAGATGGCTTTGGAGGATCTTTTCTTTTAATTACAAATATTTTTAAATGCAGCATTTATGTTTGTACTTTTTGTAGAAGTTTTGTTTTCTGCTTCATTTCTTTCTGAGCAATTTTGAATTATAACACCTATTTGAACTAGTGAGCAAAATAATTTAATTCCTATTTGGTTGAATTTCATAGTATATATTTACGTATAAATCCTTTAGCATTAAAAATTTCTTAATAAAGAGAATCAATTGTATTAAAATATTAAGAAAGTAGGGTTTAATTGGCATGATTCTTTTGAAATTAGCAATTATTTCCATGGATTTCAAACCTGATTTTGGATAACTAGGTGGTGATAGTGTCATATTATGCTAGTGCTTTAACTGTGTGTGTTTCTCTTATTAAAACTCAAAGAGTTAAAGCACTAGCATAATATTAAGAAATTGGGTTTTATATGAATGTAAAAGGAAAGGAAAGTAAAATTTACAGGAAATTAATAGTAAAGAGTACAAGTTAGCATGCTAGGAGCTGTTAAGGTGCAAAGCTGAGTAAGGTATAGCTTTTGCTCTCAAAGTGCTTACAGTGGCAGGAGAAATATGTGCCTAAATGGATAGATTACATTTTAATAAACCATTTACTCTTTGTAAAAAAATGTTTATTTATTTATTTTTGGCTGCAGTGAGTCTTCATTGCGGTGCGCAGACTTCTCATTGCGGTGGCTTCTCTTGTTGCGGAGCACGGGCTCTAGGTGCACGGGCTTCAGTAGTGTGGCACGTGGGCTTCAGTAGTTGTGGCATGTGGGCTCTAGAGTGCAGGCTCAGTAGTTGTGGCGCATGGACTTAGTTGCTCCGTGGCATGTGGGATCTTCCCGGCCCAGGGCTCGAACCTTGTCCCCTGCATTGGTAGGCAGATTCTTAACCACCGAGCCACCAGGGAAGCCCGAAACGAGAAGATTGCACTTACTCTTCTGCTTCCTGAGATGACTATTTTAAAATTTCTCCTCTTTTCCAAAAACTTCAACACTTCCTTCATTGTCATCCCTCTGTGATTACAACTTTGCTTTTATTTCACTGAGATAACAGAAACAATCACATATTCTCACCTCCACAGTTGCCAATATGTGTATATTTGCTTTCCTTCCTTGCTTTAAATTAACTTTCTAGGCTTATATCTGAGACTAACTTCTCTACTTGTGCATTGACTCCTATCCCCTCTTATCGACTTGGGATACATTGCTCTGGCAAATATTCCCTCTTTAATACAATGTTTTCCCCCTCTTAACTGCATTATTTTCCGAAGGACGCAAAGATGTTGCAATATTTCCCATCTTTAAAAAACCCTCTCCTTTGAACCTGAATTTTCCTCTAGCTGTCTTCTTCTTTCTCTGATTCTCTTTATGGCAACATATTTTTAAATAAAATGAAATTTATTGTAGCCTTAATGCACATAATAAAATGACTTACAAGCAATTTTTGTTAGCAGTAGCTAGAGAATGGGTAACTGACCATTCTGGTGAATGTAGTGGTAATCCCACACCTGGTCATTCTTGTCACGTTTCTAAAAGAGCCCCCTGCAAAAATCTATCTTGCTGACTACAGGTGAAATTAAAGAACATATTCTAGAGGAAGTAATACCCACAGGACTAGAAAAAATGGCAAAATATTTAGAAAGACTTGTTTTTACTCATATCAAATTCTTTCCTTCATCTCTGTTGAAACCATTCCAACTCTATTACTCTATAAAAATTCTTTGTGTTTTTCCTTTGGTGAAGGTAACTAATGACTGCCGTATTGTTAGATCCATAGCCAGTTCTTAGTCCTCATCTTACTTGATTTATCATCAGCATTCACAAAGTTGATCTCTCCCTCCTCTTTGAAACACTTTTTTCTTTTGACATCTGAGATACCACTCTCTCTTGGTTTTCATGTAGTTCACTGGCTGTTCCTTCTCAGTATTAGGCTGAGCCAAA